CTTCTTTTCATCTTTTGCAATCCATGCACTGCATGAATGCAGATATTAGTCAATAAAATGATGTAGTAATAATAATGAGATTAATACAAATGCATAAGGATGCAATGGATGTTGTAGGTATTCACTGATTATAGTAAGAGTGCTTTAGTTTTGGCAAGATGTGACACGACATTCAAATTCGGTGTAGACTTAGTGCAAGTGTTTAGATTTTCTGTCTTTGTGCTTTGTCTTCCCTGTTTTCCTTCCCATTCCAATATCTCTTCTATATCCATTTATCCATAAACGAATCTCTCACAGACACTCTAGCAGCACTTGAGTGTTTATTTCCAGAACATATTAAACCTTAAACAGCCATATATCACTGTTGACATCTGCAGGTCTCGCGAACACGTCTGTCTCTGCACGCTGCCAACTTATTTTTACAGCTCGTATATTTTATTGACTTTCTCCCCAGTATGCCCTGCTGATGAAGCAACGCTCTGTGGTTTCTCGCTGAGATCCAAGACCGCAAGACTGACTCCAAATGATCCCGGATATTATATTTCATTGGATTTTGATTGAGGGTCCTGGGACTTGTTTCCAAAATAAATATTGGCAACCCAAAACACACGAAAGACCATGAAGGTATCACGGCTCTATAGCACACATGCATTCCCTGGACTTCAGAATGATTGGAGCATTGCGTCAGGTGGAAAAGTGAAAGGAAGAATTGAGAACGTTACCACAGTTTTGGCAGATACACCCTAAAAATCTGGATTTAAAATCACTAGTCTAGGATCTGGCAACCCAGTGTATGTGTTCTTCAGAAAATCCCTTTATTTCCAGGATGTTTTGTAGGGCACTGGGACACCATGTGACTGGGAACATCTGGATGATGAACAACATGCTAATAGAAAACAGACGTAAATCATCAGATTTCTCTTTGTGCGCTTGACAGGAACTCTGCGAGGTCAAAAGATCACATTTTTTTGAGGGGAGAATGCACAAAACATCATAGTCCAGTTTGCTGATCATTATAAAAAGCTCTTAAAATATATTTTACAACATGTCAGACACGGGGTGGTTACTCTCAGTAAAATGCTGTGTTAACTTTGTGGAGTTTCAAGAAAAACCTTTTCCGTTTCCTTTTTGTTTTCTTTCCTATCCTTAAGGCATCATACCGGCAGTGTTTCAACAGCTGTAACCAACTAACTTATTTAGTGTGCCAAAACAAATCTGTAAAACCACACTGGGGCTTTGATCCAAATCTTAGTGAGCTCCCTACATAGTCAGTATTTTAGGGCATCATGGGCACGTTCTTCATTTAGCCAAATCTTAATGCAGCATCATTAGCACTGTATACCAGTCCCAGTATGCATTGCGGTGAACTTGATAGAAATGTTGATTTGTATATATGCACTTTTAGAGTATCACTTTATCTAAGTGACATGCTAAGGCTCAACTAGGGCTGGAGGATAAAAGTATTATCACAAGATTTATTTATTTCCATATCATTCAGTATCGATATTTTTCATGATATTAATTTTATACGTTAATGGGAAGGAAATTTATTGCCTAGCCCTATAGTCTAATATCAGTTGTGTATTGAGAACAGAAGCACTTTTTTCAGTCTTTCGATTTATGTATAGAGTTAGACAATAAACACTTTATTATGTTAAAGTTTATTATCTGGTAAAGTATATTATAGTTTCAGTAATGGTTTTGTCTTAAAGGGCAGCTGCCTGTGTAGTGAGCAAGGCAGTTGACTAAGTTTTTGAGACTCTGTTTCACAGACAAACACCGCTGTCTGTGTTGAACACTAATCCTGTGACAGGTAGATGCCAGAAGGCATGAGTGTGTTTCTGCGATAAAGTGTGTGTTTGGTGTTGTCAGGGTTTGTGAGAGCCGCTAACAGGCCCGAGCACAGCGTGACTGTTGTTTATGTGTATGAATGAGAGAGTTTGCTCTAATGGTGTTTTTCTCCAGTGAGCACAGCTGTCAAATGGTCAGTTTAACCACTGCACAAGAAAACAAGTGTGCAGATGAGCGGCCTGCTCAACGCTCCAAACATCTCCTGCAGGACGTCCCAACACTTCTGTATGCTTATTGCAACCTGTCAAGTCCAACATCACATGATCACATCTATGTTCATATTTCGCGTCAAACCCATGTGTTACTGTAACGTTTAAAAATGCAGTCAATTTAGCAATCTGTCACATACAGAAAGGTGTGTAGATGAGAAATTACAGTAATGATGTTTTATTTGAGCACTTTCACACTTAAATTACGGCAACAGAAATGTGGGAGACTTTTATTGATGTTTCTACAAAATAAACATTTAGTGTTTGTTTTTCGAAAAAAGCATTCTAAGCTAAGTTGAATCAAAGTATTGCAATATGATAATCAATGTATTTGAACAATGTAAATGTTGATCAATGTATATATCAACAAAAAAGACAAAGGTACAAGACTTATTTAAGTAGTGTACTTTAAGTTTTCTCTCTGAAATTTTGGCAAGTAAACACTTTTTACAGCGAGGTTGAACACTGTACTACTGTTCAAAAGTTTGGGGAGCGCTGAAAATATTTTTTAATGTTTATGAAAAAAAGTCTCTTCTGCTCACCAAGGCTGCAATTATTTGATCAAAATACAGAAAAAAATGTAATATTGTGAAATATGACAATTTAAAATAACTATTTTCTATCTGAATATATTGTCATATGTAATTTATTGCTGTGATCAAAGCTGAATTTTCAGCATCATTACTCCAGTCTTCAGTAGCTATGTTTCCATCCAAAGTTACGAATTAAACTTAAGCGCAAAATTGGAATATCGCATAAAACATTTGCGAATTAAGCACCGTTTCCATCCAGGGGAAAAAAATCATCACTTCCTGATTAACTTGTGCTATATATCACAAAGAAAAACTACATTTGCTGCAGTAGGAGAAGGCACTGTATATAATAATTTGTGTATACAATAAATTACGAGCTTCAGAGCACGCAGACGAAACGTGGTCACGTCATCATGTTATTTTGGATAACTCTCTTGGAGTCTCTTGGAGTTAATTATAACAAAGCACTTTGACAAGACTTTGCTCAAGCATATTAGAATGACATAACTAGCATTTCTGATGCAGTGCAATGAGATCGGTCCATTGGTTGGTCCAGTTTTATGCTGTCCCATCGCAAAATCACATGATGTGCATTAAGGAATTTATTCGGGTAAACGTGTTTCCATCGTAGTTTATGCGCATGTTTTCTTATTATACATTCTTAGTTGAGCGCATATGTTTTTTATGCGTATTTTTAGAATTTATGCGCATCTTGGCGTTTCCATCCAGCGTGTTGTTTTTTTTTATGCGATATCCCAAAATGTGCATAAAAATAGGCAAGCATATTAGAATGACATAACTAGCATTTCAGATGCTGTGCAATGAGATCGGTCCATTGGTTGGTCCAGTTTTATGCTGTCCCATCGCAAAATCACATGATGTGCATTAAGGAATTTATTCGGGTAAACGTGTTTCCATCGTAGTTTATGCGCATGTTTTCTTATTATACATTCTTAGTTGAGCGCATATGTTTTTTATGCGTATTTTTAGAATTTATGCGCATCTTGGCGTTTCCATCCAGCGTGTTTTTTTTTTTAATGCGATATCCCAAAATGTGCATAAAAATAGGTGGATGGAAACATAGCTATAGGGTCACATGATCTTCAGAAATCATTCTAATATGCCGATTTGCTGCTTAAGAAACATTTCTGATTATTATCAATGTTGAAAACAGTTGTGCTGCACAATATTTTTGTGCAAACCGTGAGACATTTTATTTTCCAGGATTCTTTGATGAATAAAAAATTCAAATGAACAGCATTTATTTGAAATAGAAATCTTTTGTAAGATTAGAAATGTCATTACTGTCATTTTTCAACAATTTAATGCATCCTTGCTGAATAAAAGTTCTAATTTCTTTAAAAAATTTACTGGCCCCAAACTTTTGATTGGTAGTATGTCATCACTTAATCTCAGAGCTCATTGTATGTCTGTTGTGAAGCGTTTCTATGAAGACAATAAATGGGATCTGATGCTTTGTGTTTGACTGCACAGAGCGCTGGCAGCTCCAGCAGTTGGTTTTGGCAGAATAAAAACCAGAAATCACCACATGTCGGAACATATTGGTGAAATGACAGATAAATACAGTATAAGCGATATTATCATCTAAAGGGAGTGTAGACTGGTTTCTGCTCTGCAGGTTCTCACTGCAGTTGCCATGAACTCCAAAGCTATGTCTGAATCCACAAACATGCATTAAACACACCTCGATCTGCTCTCCTGTACCTGTCACTGTGTAAATCACTGCAGTATCAGAGACGAAACACACCTGCCTAACTCAAATAAAACACAACATAAAGCTTAAGCTCTCAGCCAAACACCATCAGTCATTCAGAGAGGCATAACAAACCATCAATATAGAGACTAAGCTCAATGTGTGCTGTAAAGTGGGTCAGGCTGAGGATTTGAGACCACACTGAAAATGTAGGAGGTTTTTCATTTATAAACAACTGCGAAAGATGAATCCTTTTTATTCTCACTGCGAGATCGCAACACGCAGAGCTAGAGTCAAATAAAAAAAGAAAACCAAAGCTGATCTTAAGTCCGTTTCGCTCACTACATGCAGGTTTTTTAAAGTCCATAATAAAGTGTTTTAATCTTAAACACTGATTGTTGAAACTTCTGAATGTTCATTTGTACAAGTAATATTAGCTGAGACAAACTTCAAGAAGTTGATGCAAACTAAAGAAACTTTTGCAGCAACAAAGTGTAAAACGTGCAAACTTTTTTTTTTAACTATAGCCATGCTAAATGAACATTAATGTATGTTAAGGACTAAATCATGGTCACCTACAACAGCAGTCAGCTATCACTAGTTCAGTAGTCCAGTTATCAGTGGTTCAGTAGGTCAGTGGCACAACAACACCGACCGTGTGTGTAAAAACTCAAATGAACGAGTCTTATTTACCATCTTGACGACTGAATCGCGGCTACTGAGTTGTCATCCTAAAATCTGTGCCTCCAGCAGAGAAAAATTCCCAGTTTAGTTCTGCATTGGTAATGGCAGCATTCCCATGATAGTCTCACATCCAGAGGTGCTTCCATGGTGTCCGGTTTGAGACGGCTGGTAGATTTGGACTATAGTGGATCAGATCCATTGTTTAGCAAGTTATTGTAAGTTTGTACAAGAGTGCGACGTCTGCTGAGAAATGTAAAGTGTCAAGCGGTCTGTCGTCGGCTGACTGCGCCGTTTTGTCTCGACTGTAAAATGCTTGAGAGAGAGAGAGAGAGAGAGCAAGTAAAGGGTCGGAGAAGAGGAGGAGGAGGAGGAGGAGGAGGAGGAGGTCTTTCTTTTGGAGGAAATCCCCCTGAAGGCTTTTCATACTTTTCTCAGTGGCAAATCAGGACCTCCCTTCACACACACACTCGGTCAAACAAAGAGACCACTAAAGCCTCCCTAAATTCTTTCATTTCCTTTGTACAGTTCAGTTTCTTCTTGTTTAAACACTTCAGAGAGAGCGAGAGACTCTTGGAATGTGTAGTTACACAAACACCTGCATATTATTCACATACTCTCAGGAGGAGACTGATGGATGAAAAACACTGATGGTTTCTTAGAAGGAATGTCCATTACTTACACACACACACACACACACACACACACACACACACATACATATTTACTTATTTATTTTAGGGATGTCACAATTCTCGATATAACATCAAACCATTCGGTACGACATCCACTGTTCAATACACGTGTGTGAATTGCGGATTTTCAGTTTTGTGTTTAAATAATATTTGTGTTTTATTTTACTCAGAATTGGCTGTGTGTGTGTGCCTGTGAGTTCACGTGCTGAGATGAGGAAACACCTCCCCACTTATATTTGAAAAAGCAACACACGCTGAGCATCTTCCCTTATAATGACATGCAATGATAATCCTTTCTAAACCTGTTGTCCAACAAAAGAGAACATTATAACTTGTTTTTACTTCACAACATTAGTCGAGTCTTTGAAATAACTTCCTTTTGTGATCTGATGTGGCTTCTTATCACAGAATGAGGCAGAAAATATATTCTATGCTATAATAAAAGCTATGTGATTAGAAATGGTTTACAAACATACTTAATCATTATGAAAATACTGATTCAAAAGTCTTTGATCTTTCAAGCTGTTTCATGGCACTCAGCGGGTGTT